CCTAAATTTAACTGGGAAAAATGAAGATAAGTTGTACAGTCACTAGACATCGACACTGGATAGTAAAAACGATTGTTAATTCGAAGCTATATTAAAAAATTCAGGTGATTCTTTGCTCATATTTTCGCGTTTTGCAATATATAAATAGCCAATAATCAACAATAATTCTATGACCGACTTACTAAAGAGAGTTTTAAGTGACAAAACAAGGGTTTAAAGTCAATATGTTATCTTCATACTGATTTTATATCAAGCACATGACCCACCCCGACTATATATTTTGCAGAGAAGGAATATATTCATCGATACTGTGTTCTTATGCGACCATCGGAATCCATTTCATTTTTAGCCTCTCAAGAATGTGTTCGACTCATCTTTTACACGAGTTCTACGAAGCGATGCTTACTTTTGCATTGCTATCATTTTTAATGGGAAATAGGTGTATGTGGTTATCTATAATAATTCACCAAGCATTGAATTCGTGTTGAGAACGAATTGGCGGAATAGCGAGGAAGAAAGAGAATTAACTGTAAAGAGGAAATATTCGAACCCACTTTCGTGCTTGGTTGTTAATCATAGTGTAGTCACATATGCTTGATCACATTGATCAAGAAACCGTAATAAAAACTGCCAGTATTAACGTTACAAGTTAACTGGTTTTTAGGGCTGGTCTGTAATGCCTTAATAAGAGAACGGTACCAAGCCTACTTAAACCAGAAGTCAGAAGTGAAAATGTTGGAAGAAATATTTAGAACATTGTCGATATGTCGAGAGAATTTTGATTTAAGTTTGCCAGTAGCTAAAATGGATGAGTAGCTCAGCACACTCGTGATCTGGTGCGGATGCATGAACCCATACATTCAGCTTGGATGTGTTAATGAGATCAGCATAAATGCCCAAGACTAACACTAATACTGTTTGAGGACTTATTTATGACTACAGATGAAAGTAATTTCGATAAACACATTGCTTACGATTTGCAACGAATTCTATTGTCTAGGAATCTAATTTTCAGAGAAGGTTGTATTTGCGCTACGGAATTCGGAAATAGAGGGATCGAAATAAAGTTTTTGGTCTCTATTATTTGGGGATAAATGCATTCAAGTGTATCATGTTGCACATTGGTCACCAAGGTACGAATGGATACAGAGTGAGCTAACTGTCGTTCAGACACCTAATAACTTAAGATTCATTGATAGCGTATACTTAAAAACTAATGAAAATTGCCGTGCGATAAATGATAAGTATTTAAAACTTTATGGTCACTACATAGAACATTTACCCACGTCAATGCTTTAACCATTTAGACATTTCGTACAGTGTTCTTTCGCACTAACTTGAGTATTGAGCACAGGGGGCTAGCCCTCGCCCAAAAATAGAAAGTGAGATGTTGGAAAAGGTTCACGAAACCACGACCAAGCTGATTCACAGAGTCGCAAAGTTCACGTACGATGGCAGACTAACTAAACTAAAAAACCTATTCCCCTTGTCATAACGAAGAACCAGATGTGACTTTATCATAGTCTCAAAATAACTTAGCGATAACTTAGCATTCCGAGCGCAATCTCATCCGGAACATCTCTTAAGAATCTCGCAAGAAGAAGAAATTTCATTTTGCAAGGTGTATCGGAAAACACGAACCCTAGTCTAACAAACTTTGATATTAGGGAATGGAAATTCATCAATCAATCATTGAGGCCCAAAAATTTACTGACTTAATATGTGACGAGACTAGCCAAGAGGGACGAAGATTCTAGTCCCCGGCTAGTGAGAATAACTGTCCCATCCTCCCACATGATGGCTGCAACTCTGGAAACATTTAGTGCCAACAGAAATCGGTTGCCAACTGGAATCCATATGCACCCGGATAGGCCACATGACGCCAGGATCAAGCACAAAGGCAAGTTGGAGCTGACCATTCCACTTGTGGACTGTCTTGATGGTAAAAAAAACGTTTAAAAGACAGGGCCTACCAACTCGGCAAACCTTATATAGGTAGACTATCTGTCCATTCACGTAAGGCTCATACAGACAAACACGAAGAAGCTCACGCGTTTGAAATTGAAAGCATAAACTGCTTATACATAAAGGCCACGAGTCTACCGAATAAAATGGATGAGCTACGTGAATGTAGCGATGCTAATAAGGTTCATTTGATAGGAATATCTGAAAATTGGATATCGTCTCAGTTTACGGACCATGAGAAAGACCTTGGGTGTCTTTGTTTCGCAGCGACAGAAAAAAGAGGAATTAAGGGTGGAGCAGCCTTATACGTGCCTGGAGGTACACCAAGTTCACAACCAAGAGTTTGTCAATCTTCATGAATCCGTATGGTGCTCAGTATGATTGTCTACCACTTTGAGGTGCCTAGTGGAGATCATCTACAGAAAGCCTGCTGCGGAATCACTCATCTTCTGATTCTAGGGAACTTCAATCTCTCTAGAGTGAGTTAAGAGGAACATATGTATATTGGAGGTGAAAACTCAACAGAAATTAGGCCCTTCAACATCATTGAAGATCTGGGATTGTACGAAAATGTGAAGTCGGCAACTCGTTGGAGAAACAGTCAGATACCGTCGCGCTTAGACAGGTTATTTATAAATGAAGGATTTCTAGTTGACAACCTCTCAATTCTGGCTCCCCTGGGCAAAATAAATCACGCCAATATAGCCTTTAGTTTTGTCAGCAAAACTGAGCCAAGATATCCCAACAACAACAGACGCTGGAATGTCAAACGGTTGAAAGTGTCACCTCCAAAGAACTATCTACAACAGATGGATTGGGATGTTCACCCTCAACTTGATGTGGATGGTCATTGGAACTTCTTACTGCACACGCTCTTATGCTCTACAAAGCAGTCAGTTTCTCAAACGGCCTCCAAAAGCCACAAGCAACCTACAATCATCAAGAACCACACTCTTCGTTTGTTAAGCCGCAAAAAGCACTTTTGGGCAGAATACCAACGAACCGACAACAATGGCGCATACAGGAAATACAAACATATGAGGAACATATGCAGGAAGGCTATAAGAGAAGACAGGCTTCAGTACCAGATAAAATTATGAATAAATTTGTTTCCGATCTGAAAAGCTTATTCCGTTGTGCTGCTTCTCTTTGTCAAGCCAAAACTAGAGTGTCCCAACTGCCCGACCAATAACGACGGCGACACCGCTAACCTTTTGGCTGAACCATACTCTCGGAATTTCAACCGACCCACATCAACTATACTGATGACAGCCTTATGTGCAACTGAACAGGACTTTCCGAAGTGAACCTGAGCGCTAACTTGGTGTTCCGGAAACCGTAGCACCTAAAAAAAGACACTTTGTGAGGCCTTTTTTGCCGTCATTTGGATCTGGCTCCAATTTGATCGTATGAATGATTGTTTTTGAAACATATATGTCGCCTATCCTCGTATATAATCATCGACTTAAATTGCATTAGTCAATAACCGAATTAAATCAGTCACATAACGAGAATGAACTTTTGAATACACATATTTTCTATATGAAGCAAATCGGATAGAGAGAAGTGAAACAACGCACAGTGAAGATGGCGGATAAGCCAACTCCTATTTAACCAAACGTTAATCAATATTTATAGTTACACAAAAACAGGTTATAGACATGTGATGAGTAATGGGATAAGAAGTGTACACACACCTACGCGCTCACATAAAATGTCAAGATTGATAAGCGAATGATTGACAAGGCCAAAATGTGACTCAGGTAGAATGAAAAGAATGAGCAGTCCAAAAGCTAGAATAAGGCATGTGAGCTTAACATAACAACAGACACTGCAACTTGTCCTGGCTTAGATATGGTTCTGCTATATTGAGGGAAGCAGCTTCAATCCTGGCAACAACGCTTAACGTGATGTTCTCACACTCGCTAAGTCGAGGCGAATCACTGGGAATTTGGAAGCTGGCCCACATCACACCAGTTTTCAAAGGAGGTCGACTCAGCGAACCCTCAAGTTACCGACAGGTGACTCTTTCCTCTATACCTTCAAAAATCATGGAGCCCCTGATATGAGATGGTATACATGATTATTCACTGTCCTTAAACTTCTTGCCACCCTGAGAGCATGGATTCAGGAAGGGTCACCCTTGTATAACCAACCTGCTGACTGCGGTGGACAGATAGACAAGCATACTTGATCGCAAGGGGAAAGTTGATATCATTTACCTTGGTTTCTCAAAAGCTTTTGATATGGTCAACCATATATGTCTTATGAATAAGCTCAAACGATTGATTGTCAGACCACCTCTAATTGGCTGGTTCATTTCGTATCTGAAAAAGCGACATTTTAAGGTCAGGGTTACCTTCACTGTATCTCAGGCTATGGAATGTCCTAGTGGGATTCCCCGGGACTCAGTACCAGGACCTCTTCTATTCTTGATTCATATAAACGATCTTCCACTACAGCTATTGTCAGAAGTATTACTTTTTGATGATGATGTGAAACTTTGGAGATACGCAACCAAGAGGATATACAGGCACTTCAGGAGAATCTGACTCGACTTCAAAGTTGGGCAGACGATAACGGACTTACCCTTAACACGTAAAAGTGTAAAAAAGTCCATCTGCGACGTGTTGCAGACTACAGTTAGAACTTAAAAACTCCTCTGTAGTAGTATCCCGAGTCGAAAAAGATTTATGAGTCCTGGTACCTACGATTTGAAGTCCTACGCTAACTGTGACAGAAATGCCTTTCCAGAAAACTTTCACTGGCAACATTGAAGCGTATTTTTGGTCAGTTTGACGGAAGAACTTTCCACACAATGTTCAACAGTTTTATTTGTCCCCATTCAGAGTACTTAAACATAGTATTTCCTCCCTCACTCTAACATAATGTTGCTTTTCTAAAGTTCCCAATGGACTGTACCCATAAGTCATATTTTTCTTCCATCCCAAACAACCTTCTATACCACAAAGGCTGATCTTAAAGGACATCGAGAACTATACGTGACCTCGATTGAGGGTTGTAGGTATATTTTCGTAGTAGCGCGCGGTCTTCAACTGCTTGACGCGTCATGGCCTCGTTTTTTGATGTCAGCTCTAAGAGGAAAGATAAAAAAGAAGAGGAGGAAGGTAAGGAAGGTCTCTTTACCTCACATTTGATCTTTTGCGACTTGGTGTTTATGTGCCTCACATGCAATGCTTTTATCTATTTCTAGGCTACGGAGCAGTGTATGCTAAGCTAGATAAAACTGTGGTTTTGCAAGAAGTATTTGCAAATTCTTCTCTCTCTCCATCTATATATATATAAATATTTTAGGCCCGATTGTTTAATCAAACAACACTTAATCCAAGGAGATGTGTGCACATATTGACTAAAATTCTAGTGATTTTGGAGCAGGTTTAAATTAATTCATAATTCTTAAACTGGATATATAGAGTGAAAAGTTGGGGAAAATAGAGGCAACCGATGCTTTTTTCGCAATGACCAAGTTGTTTCAATCCAATGACGTATGTTGTTTGATCCTAACTTTTGTCTTCAGCAAAATCTTCGTCGCATGCTTTACCTAGTGATTAAAGAATTGTCTACTGTTGCAGATGACGTGATTATTGTTACTAGCAGGTACTTTCTGGAATAATAACTACTCTGTAGTTTAACTAAAGATATGACCGGCCCAGAAATTGCTTTTCGAGGACCTGCAATTCGGGCGCTTTGCACTATTACGGATGTAAGTTCAGGTTCAACTTTATCTTCCTTTTTAGGCAGCGATGGTCCAGAGTATTGAACGTTACCTAAAACAGGCTGTAGTAGATAAGTCTCCTGCAATAGCATCAGCTGTGTTGACGTCAGCGTATAAGTTAATGGATGTTTGTCCGGATATAATCAAAAGATGGACGAATGAAGTACAAGAAGCTGCATCGGGCTCTCGTGTAATGGTACAATATCATGCTCTTGGTCTGTTGTATTTAATTCGTCAATCTGATCGACTTGCTGTGACAAAAATGATTCAAAAGTTTACTCGGTCTACTTTAAGATCCCCTTACGCCTATTGTCTCATGGTGAGTTATAATTCATGTTATCTCACTTCTGTAGATAAGGATAGTAGCAAAGCAGTTGGACGAAGATGGGCACTCGTAAGTTGTCCGATTTTTATTAAGGAAAGTGTGTTTATTTCATGTCCAAGTATTCCGAAACTTATACGTGGAATACTTTTTGTGGCTCATTCAGTTTTATTGTCCAACATTTTTAACCACTGCTAGTGACAGGCGAGTGATAGCGTGAAATCCTGCACATAGATGAATAGGTAGGCTTTTACTTACTTACTTACTTACTTACTTACGCCTGTTACTCCCAATGGAGCATAGGCCGCCGACCAGCATTCTCCAACCCACTCTGTCCTGGGCCTTCTTTTCTAGTTCCATCCAATTCTTGTTCATTTTTCTCATATCTATCTCCATTTCTCGGCGTAATGTGTTCTTTGGTCTTCCTCTCCTCCTTTGACCTTGAGGATTCCATATGAGGGCTTTTATTGTGACGCAGTTCGGTGTTTTCCTCAATGTGTGTCCTATCCACTTCCAGCGCTTCTTCCTGATTTCTTCCTCCACTGGGATCTGATTTGTTCTCTCACACAGTAGGTTGTTGCTTATAGTGTCCGGCCAGCGGATCTGAAGTATTTTGCGTAGACAACTGTTAATAAACACCTGTATCTTTTGGACGATGGATTTCGTAGTTTTCCAGGTTTCCGCGCCATACAGTAGAACTGTCTTGACATTTGTATTGAAAATTCTGACTTTGGTGTTGGTTGCTAATTGTTTTGAGTTCCAGATATTCTTCAGTTGTAGATATGCTGCTCTTGCTTTGCCAATCCGTGCCTTCACATCTGCATCAGATCCACCGTGTTCATCGATGATACTGCCCAAATATGTAAAGGTTTTTACATCTTCCAAAGCTTCTCCGTCAATTGTGATTGGATTGGTACATGTTGTGTTGTATCGAAGAATCTTGCTTTTCCCTTTGTGTATATTGAGACCTATTGCTGCTGAGGCTGCAGCTACACTGGTTGTCTTCTCCTGCATTTGTTGTTGTGTATGCGATAGAAGAGCCAGATCATCTGCAAAGTCTAGATCATCCAACTGCATCCTAGCTGTCCACTGTATCCCGTGCTTCCCTTCAGATGTTGATGTCTTCATGATCCAGTCGATCACCAGGAGAAAGAGAAAGGGTGACAGTAAACAACCTTGCCTGACACCAGTCTTTACTTCGAACGACTTTGTCAACTGTCCTCCATGCACGATTTTGCAGTTTAATCCATCATAGGAATTCTGTATGATATTGACTATCTTCTGAGGCACGCCGTAGTGTCGAAGAAGCTTCCATAGGGTTGTTCTGTCCACGCTATCAAATGCTTTTTCGTAGTCGATGAAGTTGATATAGAGTGATGAATTCCATTCAATTGATTGTTCCACAATGATCCGTAGAGTTGCGATTTGGTCTGTGCACGATCTATCCTTACGGAATCCTGCCTGTTGGTCTCGAAGTTGGGCGTCTACGGAGTCCTTCATCCTGTTTAACAATACCCTGTTGAAGACTTTTCCTGGTATTGAAAGAAGAGTGATTCCCCTGTAGTTGTCACAGTTGCTGAGATCGCCTTTCTTTGGTATTTTGACTAGAAGTCCTTCTTTCCAGTCTTTGGTACCTGTTCCTCATCCCAGATCTTTCTGAAGAGAGTTTGGAGTATCCTTGCAGTTGCCGCTACCTCTGCTTTCAGTGCCTCTGCTGGAATGCTGTCTAGTCCTGCTGCTTTGCCACTCTTGATTTGTCTGATAGCCATGCTGATCTCTTCAATTGTTGGTGCGCCAACATCAATTGAGGAAGTAGTGAAACTTAATCAGTTGAGATGGCTGGGACATGTGTTGCGCATGCCCGACCACCGACTGCCCCGACGTGCTATGTTTTATGGTGTAGGAGTAGGTTGGAAGAAAGGTAGGGGCGGCCAGACCAAAACATGGCACAAATCCATGAAGTCACTGACAAGTGGACTGAGTCATGTTGGTAGGTGTAGACTACCTGGTTGGGGACCGCGAGACGATAGCAACCGATGGTTAGAGACCTTGAATGACATGGCTCAAAATCGTTTGCAATGGCGCAGGTGCATCCACTCTTTGTGTTCTCTTAAACTCTAATCTTCTGAATTCTTCATGTCCTTTATTTTCTTTCCCAATTTATTCCACTGGACTATACTCCTTTAATAACATCATCAAACCTTAATGTCCCCTATCTCTACTTATACTTTCAGTACCTCTACCACTATGGGATTTGAATCGTTAACTGAATCTCTGTGCTAATGTGGTATGGCAACTCGAACTGATGTACGTACGTACGAAGTTCCACGTTGTTACTGACTGACTGACTGGGAGATCCGTGAGTGCTGCTTCGATGTTGGGTGGGTTCAGTGGGGCTGGTCGATTCAAGAGTTCTTTGAAGTATTCTACCCACCTGTTTCGTTGTTCTTCAATGTTGGTGATTATCTTGCCTTCCTTGTTTTTCACTGGTCGTTCTGGTTTACGGTGATTTCCAGAGAGTTTCTTTGTTGTTTCATACAGTTGTCTCATGTTTCCTTCTCTCGCAGCCTTTTCCGCCGTCAATGCCAAATCCTCCACATATTTACGTTTGTCATTTCTGATGCTCCTTTTCACTTGCTTGTTTACTTCTGTGTATTCAGCCTGTGCCTTGACTTTTTCTGCTCTTGTTCTGCTGGTATTGATTGCTGCTTTCTTGTTCCTCCTTTCTTGAATCTTATCCAGTGTATCGACCGTGATCCAATCCTTGTGATGATGCTTCTTTTGGCCCAGAACCTCATGACATGTTGGAGTGATTGCCTCTTTTATCTCTTTGCAGTTGCTCTCCATAGTAGTTCCTTCTCCATTGAGTAGATCATGAAAGGCTTGGAACTTATTGCTGAGGGTTATCTTGAATTTATTGAGTTTGTCAGTATCCCGAAGAAGAGCCGTATTAAATTTTTGTGATATTGTCCGCGCCGTTGTCCAGTGCTTCTTGAGTTTCAATTTCATCTTGGCGACCAGCAAGTGATGATCTGATGCTATATCAGCTCCTCTCTTTGTTCTCACGTCCTCCATCGTCCTCCTGAACTTTTTGTTGATGCAGATATGGTCGATTTGGTTCTGTGTGGTGTGATCCGGTGAAGTCCATGTGGTTTTGTGTATGCGTTTATGTGGGAATATAGTGCTGCCTATGACCAGTTTATTGAAGGCACATAGATTTACAAATCTCTCACCATTTTCGTTCCTTTCTCCCAGTCCGTGTCGTCCCACGATCTCTTCATATCCGGTGTTGTCAGTTCCAACCTTGGCATTTAGGTCTCCCATCAGAATAGTCAGGTCCTTTGTTAGGCACTTCTCGACGATTGACTGCAGCCTATCGTTGAATTGATCTTTAGCGTCTTCATTGTAGTCGTTGGTAGGCGCGTAGCATTGGATGACGTTCATTGTAATCCCCGTTTTCTTTGTTTTGAAGGAGGCTTTGATGATCCTTGGTCCATGAGATTCCCATCCTATAAGTGCATTTTGTGCTTGTTTGGACAGCATCAATGCAACTCCTTGTGTATGTGGAGCATTTTCTTGTTCATGTCCGGAGTATAACAGCAGCTCCTCTGAAGCTAGTCGTTGTTGTCCAACTTGCGTCCAATGTGTTTCACTGATCCCAAGCACCTCTAAATTGTATCTCCTCATTTCTGCAGCAATTTGGAAAACTCTCCCAGTCTCCCACATTGTGCGAGCATTCCATGTACCTAAATAAATGGTTGCTCTGGTTGTTAGAAGGGGCATCGGCCTCGTGACTTCCGAAGAAACTCGGCTTTCATCGTGAGGCGTCATAATTCTTCTAAACGAAGACCTTCTGACTCCCGGGGCAGAGTTTAAATGGTTTGAATAATTCTTTCTGGTTAGCGTTTTTTAGCGAGTTAGTTTTCTACGGGATGGGGTCGCTAACCCCATGCCCAACCCTCCTCCTTTATCCGTGCTTGGGACCGGCAGTAGCCCCCGGAAAGGGGCTCCAGGCGGAGTTAGGTAGGCTTTTACTATTAGTTATATAATGAAGCACAGAATTCGGAAAGTTATCGTAAATACTGGAGATATCATGGTTGGAAACCAATAATTAGAACTACAAATCCCGTGATTTCAGGAAACAAAAGGTTGACACATTTAGATATAGTGAGTAAATGAAATTTTGTCGTCTACTTAGTGGTAGTTGGCCGTCATCAACAAAAGTTCAACCGGAAATAGATGATTAATTAAATTATCTGTTGATATATAATCTCTGTCTTTAGAGTGTTTAACGGTTGCGGAGCTTTTAGGTCTTAAGGATTCTTCCTAGGTTTCGGCAGGAAATGTTTTGACTCACTCTAATTCCGTCAAAGATCAAAGTCAGTCAGTCAGCTACAACGTAGGACCAGACACATATGTGCATAGGTCCAAGTTGCCATACCGCATTAGCACAACAAAATGAACACCGGATTCATAGAAGTAGTTAATTCAGTGGTGGTAATATATAAAAGAAAGATTGCATATAAGTACATAGTACAGGAAGAAAGAATTAGTTCGTAGAAAGAAAGATATGAAGCGATTTTGATCTCATAGCTCAAGGGAAGACAGTATATACACCGACACCATTGTGGTCGATTCTGAGCCATGTTACCCAGTCTCAAACCATTAGTTATGATAGTCGCGCGAACCCCAACTAAGTAGTCTGCACCTAACAACATGGCTCAGACTGGAAGTTAGTGACTTGAAGCACTGATGCCACGTTTTGGTTTGACCACCCCTAGCTTCCAACCGCCTCCAACACTAGTCAGCATTGCACGTTTGGTAAACGGTGTTCAGGCATACGCAACACGTAGCCCAACCATCTCATCAATTGATTTACCATCTGTTATAATTCTCTCTTACGCTTATAACCCAGCTATTCCTATCACTTAGTATTCTCGGACACAGATTTACTCGACAGGTCCCCAAATCAGAACAAGGTTGAACAGGAAAGAAATTATATTCCAAATAACAAGGTCAGATGGAATTAAGAAGTACAGTAGGAAAAACGTTAGTATATTTATAGTTTTTACATGAGTAGATTTTCTAGAGTATTCTCCACGTGTCGACTAGCACTGATTGGGCAAGAATTGGCCAATCAGCGTGCACCAAAGCAATCATGCATTGAGCATGCTTTAATTCAATCTATGTCCCGCTAACACCATCATTACCTAATACCCTATGTCTAACCTCACTATTACCTACCAGGTGATCCCAGCAGGTGATGGCAATATTTCTAAGACATCTGTGGTCGAATATTAGTAGCTTACGAACATCTACTCTTAGTTACCACGTTTCGCAGCCGTAAAGTAAAACAACGAACTGCTGTACGGTATACTCGTCCCTTAGTTGATAGATGGATATCTGGCATTCGCTATATGTGACGTAATTTGACAGAAGCCAAACGGGATTTCTGAATCCGTGCAGAGATTTCGTCAGACACCAACCCATTAGGGCTGGTCAGACTTCCAAGATAAGTGAAGTTGTCGACGCTTTCAACTACTTCACTCGCTATCCACAGTTCAGGTATTGACGCAGGCCAGTCCTAAAGCAACAACTAGCATTTAGAGCGGGAGGAACGCATTACAATCATCCTGACATTGTTGCTCAGTGCTCCCATAAGACTCGGCATTTTATCAGCGTCAACACCAAACAGGACTATGTCATCTGCGTATTCTAAGTCGATTAGTGAACCTCCAGGAAGGAGATCAATTCTTGAAAATTCCGATGACGAGAACGTTATTTCCAGCAGTAGGTCTATGATGAAGCTGAACAAAAATGGAGATATTGGACAGTCTTGACGGACACCACTTGAGGTCACAAAATCGTATGACAGTTCGCTATAAGCTCTGACTCTACCGGTATTGTTCGAGTAAAGAGCCTTCACAGGGTTCATGTACTTCCGAGGTGGACCTTTCAATGACACACTGCCATAGAACCTCTTGGTCTACAGAGTCAAATGGTGCCTTTAGGTCAAGAAAGACCACCATTATCGGACGCTGATAAGCATGCTTGTGTTCTAGAACCTAACGAATGGTGAATATGTGGTCGAGGCAGCCAAGACCAGGTCTGAAGCCAACCGGGTTCTTGCATTTGCAGTTCACGAGTCTCTGTTAGGCACCCGATAATCTTTGAGGCTAGCATGTTAGAAGTCATGAGTCAAATTACTCCCCTTATGGTTATCACAGGTTGATTTTGATCCTTTCTTATATTTTGGGACAATCAGTGATTGCGACCAGTCAGATGAGATTATGTCCAACTCCCAGATTTTAGCTAAAATATTGGTCAATCTGGTCGCTAAAACTGGATCAGCTTCTCTACTACGTTTCAGATCAGCAACAATTTCTGAATTTCAATTAAAGTCGGAGGGCTTATTTTAATGTTCCACTCATGCTGTTTGTAAATGGTTGGTAACTGAAGGTCAACTGAACTGCTCCTTAAAATGTTCCACCCATCGTTCTAAACATGTGGACTGAGAGCAGATAATAGTGTCACCTTTCTTGAGATTGTCTCACTTACACTTTTTAATTGCGAACTCTTTTATTAGTCTGAAAAGCTGTCCTGTGTACCTACAGCCACTACCTTTTCCATCTCTTTTGCTTTCGTTGCCCACCACTGGTCCGGTTGTTCCTTAGACTTTTGGTTAACCTGGATCTGATTTGTTTTCGCTCTCCATCGTGTCCAGAGCCTGATGGGATGAGTTTACGAGAATCTATCAATGCGATAGACTTAGTAGAAATCCGTTGGTTTTTCATAACCCCTCAATTCAAATCAATAACACATGTCGCTGCTGTTTCTACAGCAGTTCGTATATCTTTCCAAGCAACATCTGGGTCAGTCTCGTTCTCAGAACTACCTAAGTGTGACCTCACTTGTTCCTGAAATCTACTTTTGGCTTTCTCTTCACTGATTTCGACTCTAATGGGTCTTCCTAGTGTAGTTTTTCTGCGTCCAGAGAGACACAAGCAAATGCGTGCCCATATAAGAGCATAGTTGGAGTCCAAACAGGTATTCCAGAATGATCAACAATCTTCTATCAACCCTCTCCAACGTTGGCTAATGGCAATATTGTCTATTTGAGTCCATCGTTGGTTTGGTGCAGGGGTTCTTCATGTTAGACGATGTCTCTCCTTATACTTAGAATGTTTGCTAAAAATAAACGATTGTCTGAACACAGTTGCAGAAGACGATCATCATTATCTGTTCTCTGAGCCGGAATAGTAAAATACCCACCTAAATGTCTTTCTTTCTTGTTACAGCTTCTTACCTGGGCATTAAAGTCATCTGCTACGAATACTATGTCTGAATGTTTAGCTTTCTGAAGAAGTTCAGAAGGGAGTGTAGGCAGAAACGACGAAAAGACAACGATGTGTGTTCCTATCCTTCCGAGTTCTTACGGAGCAGTTTAACCAAACAGCACATAGGCGACTGTTAACGGGAATCCACTTTAATAGTGCTTGTTACGCTTTCATACTCAGTGCTATGCCTACACCTGCCAGTCTACGAAAACTAGCCATCGGGTCGCCAGATGCACGCAGGGTTTATCTCGTCGGCTCTCCGTTTTGCCGAGGGGAGGTCAAGTGAATGACCATACTATGGTCGGAGTAATTCTTCCATATTCATATGCTCTCTCAACTATTGCATATGAGTTCTCATGCTTTTCAAAATCTTAACTAGCTCGCAGACCACATTTGGTCATATATTGTCGTTATTTCCGCATGACGTATGTCGTATGTATTATTAAAATTTCAAGGTGTATAAATCATAGTAATGTCCTATACTTCCTGTATTCCAAAACAAATCAAATTTGTTTGGACCGTCTGGGTCACATCAATTGCTGTGTACATACACTATACTAAGAAATGATTTCTGACTTTGACCCACATATTTTGTATGATATGTATAATGTGTTATTCTGTCTTCTCACGAATCAGTCTTCAAACGCAGTTTGCCGTTTTAAAATGCCTTTTCCACTTTTAAACCATATTTTCACATTTTCTTAAGGAATAATCCACAATTATATGAGTTTTTGGAATCATCTCTTCGCCACAAATCGGAGATGGTCATATATGAAGCAGCTCGAGCAATAATTAGCCTCCGAAACTTAACAGCTAAAGAGTTAGCACCTGCTGTGGGTGTTTTACAACTGCTTTGTACGTCTTCCAAACCTGCATTACGATATGCTGCTGTACATACGTTAAATGCTGTCGCCAGTAATCATCCTGCAGCGGTAACTGCATGTAATCTCGATCTTGAGCAACTAATCGGCGATCCTAATAGAAGCATTGCAACACTTGCAATAACAACTTTACTAAAGGTAAGCGATTAAAACTGCGGTAGACTATTAGTTTCATTTTTATTTATGATTCCCACCATGATCAGAATCTGCACAAACCTTGGTCAGTAGCAGCTAGCGATTCCCAAACGATCTTCAGTAATCAATATCATTGAGTTATGTATCCACCATAATCCCTCTTTCATACCTAAAGTAACTGATGTTGGCGGCCATAAACTATCTAGAAAAAGAGCAAGACGGGTGGATGTTAGTTTTCTGATTCAACGTATTTGGCTTGTAGTTGGTACACATTGTGCCATTTCAATGATCGTAGATCTAATTTAATACCTACAAGGTAAAGACAGATATGGAAACACCGCATTGATCTGTATTTTATTGTTGTAGATTCTTCTTCAGTAGCTCAGCGCTTAAACATAGGGTTTTTTAAGCTAGTTCAGTAGTTTGCCTAAAGTGATTGGTAAGTTATTCCCATTCTGTATGATTTTCGTTGTATAAAACATCGGTTGGTAGAAGTATGGATAATTAATACTATTGTGAATACTCATACCATTGATTCACATAAATACCCTGTCAAGCTAAATTTTGGTTAAGTTTACTTTCTTATTTTGCTGGTTTCCTCTTTCAACGTTATTAAAATGTGTGAGAACTCAATTTGGCGCAATATAACTTGTAATGTAGAAAAGTTATAGACTATATGGAATTACACAGTTTAGAATATTATTAATAAATTAAATTTTTTAGACGGGGAACGAGTCAAATGTTGAACGTTTGCTAAAACATGTATCTCCGTTCATGAGTGAAATAAGCGATGAATTTAAAATAGTAGTATTGGAATCTATCCATGCTTTAGCAACAAAATACCCCAAAAAATATACAGTGTTATTAAACTTTTTATCTGGACTTCTTCGTGATTCGGCTGGATACACTTTTAAAAAAGCAGTTGTGGTTGCTATCGAATCAATTATCAAACAAATTCCAGAAGCTAAAAGTATAGGTAGGTTTGTCTTATGCGTTTCTGTAAACTTTTCTTCTCATTTCTACAATTTAGCAAAGTAAGAAAATCACTTGTAGTTCTTGATCATCAGAGAATTGATTTCAAATAGTTTTTTTGAAACGCTAACTCTCCCAAAATTGTCATTAAAACTGACTGCAAATCATCGAATATTACTTACTTACGCCTGTTACTCCCAATGGAGAATAGGCTGCCGACCAGCATTCTCCAACACACTCTGTTCTGGGCATTCCTTTCTAGTTCTATCCGATTGTTGTTCATTCTTTTCATGTCTGTCTCCATTTCTCGACGTAATGTGTTCTTTGGTCTTCCTCTCCTCCTTTGACCTTGAGGACTCCATGTGAGAGCCCCCAAATTCCCTGGTACGGCCGAGAGTGGGGAGAGTCCGCTCTCCCTCTCCAAATGCTCTCACATGGCCACGTGTATATAGCTTCTGCCAGGGAAGTCCTACTCACTGCCTTCTCGTGGCTTGTCTTTTGACGCAGTTAAGTGCTTTCTTCAATATGTGTCCTATCCACTTCCACCGCTTCTTCCTGATTTCTTCATTATCTGGGATCTGGTTTGTTCTTTCTCATAGTAGGTTGTTGCTGATAGTGTCTGGTTAACGGATCCGAAGTGTTGTGCGTAGATAACTGTTAATAAACACTTGTATCTTCCGAATGAGGGCTTTCGTAGTTCTCCAGGTTTTCGCTCCACACAGTACAATTGTCTTGACATTTGTATTAAAAATCTGACTTTGGTGTTGGTTGACAGTTGTTTTGAGAAATAGTTTAGCAGATCTCAGAATTACATGATATTCGTACTCACAAAAAGCGTAGTAGTATATCATATCAAAGACTTCACAGAAGTATTTTACCGTATTTTATGAAGATTAGACCAACAGGCACTAACTTGGTGTTCACCTTATCTTGGTGGGGGCTTCTGTATCCTTTTCGGAATGCTAGCTTATTTCAGCCAGGATGTTGCATTACATTGGGGTTGGTGGACGATTAAAATGCATAAGACATGATACAATTATTTCATTGATGTACACCAACTAGTATTTTCAACGTAACTGGTAGTAGAACTGTATTTTTGTGATTAGCACTTATTGTGTGTTTTTTTCAAGACGGGTTATTTTATTTTATTTATTTTATTTGAACACATAAATATTGGTACAGGGGGGCACCAAATATATATGCGCCACACAAAACAATGATAATTTGAAGAGAAGGAGAAAAGAGAAAAAAAAAAGTAATGAACGTGGGGAATTATAAAAAAAAAGGGGAGAGAGAGAGAACAATGGTGGGGGAAACGGAAAGGTACAATCAGAAGAGATCTTTCAATTAAGGAAGATATAACCACTTTCTATGAAGAAAGTAAGAGGTTACAGCACGATCGCCACTGGCTTCTATTCTTAGCCATATCTGATAACGTCTCTAGCCACTGCGTTACCACCATCTCTCGGACCCCAACCAGGGAGTCGTGAAGGACCAACAGAAGCTAGTCCTTTGCAGCTTTCTTTCATACCACGACACCATGTCATATACTGACCACCTCTCCGCTTTTTCCAACCAGTCCCAGAGTCGGCAAATAATGCACGACGAGGAATTCTCTGGGACGACATTCGTAGAACATGTCCAAGCCACCGAAGTCGGTGTTTCAAGATGGTGACACCAATTTCATTATCGTCCCTGTGACCGAACACTCGATGCCGAACCTCTGCATTACTGACATGGTGTTGCCACTGGATGCCAGCAATCCTTCGGGGACAGCGATGATCGAACACAGAGAGTCGTCTAACATCCTCAACTCGGAGAAGCCAGGTTTCACAAGCATAGGGCAAAACTGCTCTCACCGTCGCGTTGTAGATCCGACCTTTTACAGCCAGACTAACATCACGAAGGCGCCAAAGATGGCCCAGATTGGCATAAGCCGCTCTGGCTTTCACTATACGTGCATTGATCTCATCACTCACACCACCACCAGCACTTATGCAGCTACCTAGATACACGAACTTCTCGACTACTTCAATCTGCTCACCATCCAGAGTGAGTACAGGATTAGAATCCTGCCAGTCTTGTAGAAGTACTTTGCACTTCGAAGGTGCAAAGCACATACCATACCTACGGACACAGATTGCCAACTGATTAAGTGCGGATTGCATGCCTTGAGCATTATCGCACAGTAAGACAATATCATCTGCATACTCAAGGTCGAGAAGTCTTTCTCCAGGCAACAGATCCACACCACCATTACTTACATCCGTCAGAGCTGTTTCCAGAATGTCATCGATGGCAAAGTTGAAGAGGAATGGTGAGATTGGGCAACCCTGCCTAACCCCACTGCTCGAATGGAATAGTGGAGAAAGGTGGTTGTATGCCCTCACTCTGCCTGAGGTGTTTGTGTATAGGGCTTTTAGGATGTTAATAAACTTCTCAGGCACACCCTTCTTCAATAGACAATCCCAGAGAACAGTTCTGTCCAACGAATCGAAGGCAGCCCTGATATCAAGAAACACTACGATTGTTGGCCTTTGATAAATATGACGGTGTTCTAAAGTTTGGCGGAGGGTGAAGATATGATCAATACATCCTCGACCGGAACGAAACACAGCCTGCTCTTCGCGAGTCAATCCTTCTCGGGTTCTGAACAACCTACGAAGTATGACGGAAGCCAATAGCTTGGACGCAATCGGAAGTAGACTTATCCCCCGATAGTTGTTACAGGAACGACGTGAACCCTTTTTAAAGATAGGGACAACTATCGAATCATTCCATGACGTTGGTACACACTCTAGTTCCCAGATCTTTGTAAACAACGTCGTCAGTCCCTTAGTCAGAAAGTCACCACTATCTTTAAAAAGAGCCGGAGGTAAGTCGTCTGGGCCCGGTGATTTGTAACGTTTCAAGAGTTGGAGTTCCTTGCGGACTTCCGCCTCATTTGGTGGATCAGTCGTCACCGGCCATGGAGGGCAGGACAGTCTGACCGATGTTGCCGGAGCAGAAGGCCAGTTGAACTGCCCTTCAAAGAATTCTGCCCATCGTCCAAGACGTCGATGGATGTTAGTGATTGGCGTTCCGTCATCCTCGCAAATTGTTTCGCTCACACCAAACTTCTTGCTGCCAGTGGCTCGGATGAGTTGGAAGAGCTTCCGGTAATTACCAGATGCAGCTGCTGCTTCCAACTCACTGGCACGCTCCGACCACCAGGCTTCACGGTCCTTACGCAAGCTTTGCCCGATTTCATTACGTAACATCCTTCGTCTGTGGTCAAACTCACGGTCACCCGGAGTAGAACGACGGGCTTCAATCAGTTGTAAGGAACCAGAAGAAACCCGGTGCTTGTAAGCGGGACGTTTCGCAAACCCACAACAGACTGTACCCGCCATTTTCATGGCGTCATGCAATTGCAACCAATCCTCATCTATACTTTTCGATGGAATGGTAGCTAGCCTAGCAGCTAGCTCGGTTCGGTACTTACTAGCAACAGAAGTTGCAGCCAGCTTGCTAACATCAATCCTTTGGTGGCGGTCACTTCGTTGTCCACTGAAAAGTAAGGTAAGATTGGCGCAGACCAGAGCATGATCAGATTCCAGATAGGTACTCCAAAAGGAGCGGCAGTCTTGTACACAACCGCGCCAGCGATAGCTGATCGCGATGTGATCAATCTGAGTCCAGGCTTGAGATGCAGAAGGAGGACGCCAGGTGGCACATCGGCGATGACTGTGCCGAAAGTTAGTGCTAGCCAGAAACAGGTTGTGGTCTTTGCATCGTTGCAGTAGATGGTCCCCGTTATCTGTCCTGCGACTAACAAGTCCCCATCGGCCACCTAAAAGACTCTCTTCAGTGCCTAGACGCCCGACCTGAGCATTCAAGTCTCCAGCTAGTACTACAATATCTGTCGGACGCACTTTCTGGAGAAGAACAGTTAGCTGATGGTAGAACTCGTCCTTGATTGCATCCGGGCTGCAATCTGTCGGGGCATAGGCGGAGATGACGAAAAGACATCGTTTCTCACTCCGATTTCTTCTCACTTTGATGGAACTTTCTAATCTAACAGCACATAACCGACTGTTAATGGGGATCCAATCGATTAGTGCTGCCTCAGCTCTAGCGCTTAGTGCGACACCAACGCCAGCAAGACCAGAGGAAGATGCCACAGGGTCCCCGGATAAACGCACATAAAACAAGCTTTTTGAAGCGACAGATGGAGAGCGAACTTGTAGTACTTCACCAGAGTCTTGAATACGGGTCTCGGATAGACAACACACATCAATATTAAGACTTTCCAAAGACATAGCCAGTCCTATCTGTTGTCCGACCTGCATAAGTGTGCGAACGTTGAAGGCAGCCAGTTTGAATGGTGCACGCGGTTTCAGAAAAACTGCTTCAGTACTCATGTTCGGTAGTAACATACAATTTTCAACCAGGCAGTGACTCGGGAACGTTTAGATAAAGCTGAATTTTCACCATAGGTGAGCTGCTGTCTAGGTCGAAACGCATATATAAAGTAGGAATAAGAGAGGGTGAATAAATGACGTGGTAGAGTAATAATAATAATAATAATAATAATAATAATAATAATAATAATAATAATAATAACAATAATAATAATAATAGTACGAGTTATTTCAATGTTAATCAGATAGAAAGGAATATTTTCCATAAGCAAATTGTTCATCATAGTTTTAGTGAGTGGGCTGGGATACTGCCCGGGTGCCCAGACCGAAGCAGGTGGTTTTCTTAGTGGGCCACACCCCGAGCCTTTGACCTAAAGGTCTAGTCCACAAGGCAGTGGAGCATCGTGAGGAGATGCAGTCCCATGGAAGCCGGTGACCAAAAGTTGGTTCATACGCCATTTGTTCCCGCAGGATACTGGAGCCCATGTGCACCATAGAAATTGGATCCGGTTATAGCGCCGGACGTTCGCTTTTCGTCCTCTCATTTTCGTAAACAACACCCCCGCCACGAGAAGGCAGTGAGTAGGACTTCCCTGGCAGAGGCTGTATACGCGTGGCCGTGTGAGAGTATTTCGAGAGGGAGGGCGAACCCTCCCCGCTCTCGGCCATACCAGGGCATTTGGGGGTACTACAATGGTTTCATTTTAACTAAAAAGTCTCCATCTTTAAAAATGCGATGGGGCGGGGGCAGCTATGTAGTCTGTTTACCAGTTACTTTAGTAAATGAAATTCATTTTTCATTTACGCACCGTATGTTGCATCGGTCTTTATTAATTATGGAGTTGCAGTTGAATTTGGTCAAAGTTGTAGGAGCACCGAGCATGTTGTTCGAGTTTTATTGAGAGGTGACGAAAATATACGATAGATCACTTGAAACTATTTTATTTATTTATTTATTTGAACACATAAACATTGGTACAAGCGGGCACCAAATATATATGCGCCACACAACAATGAGAATTTAAGAGGGGAAAAAAAGGTAAGGAGCGTAGAGAATAAAAAAAAAGAAAACAATAACGACCAGATTAGTGTAAGGTAGTGTAACAGTAGTAATAATGGGGGTAACGAAAAGGTACAATCAGAAGAAATCTTTCAGTTCAGGAAGAAGCAACCAATTTTTATGAAGAAGGTAAAAGAAAGTTACAGCAGGATCGCCATCAGCTTAAGATGTTACTGGCGGAGAACAATAATCACATTTTTGTTCTTTACATTTGTCCGAAATCTGATCATTTAGTAAACTATCTTCTTTCAATAAGTAACCAGTTAAATTTATCTCAACATATTTGTTGGTTTTAAAATGAGTTGATTTAAAAGCTTGCTGTTGGGGAGATCCAGAAAAATCCTCGAAAAAAGCCAACAAATACGGGAAGAGCCTGCATTCAGATTTTGCCGGCCCAATGTGAGGAAGAATGTTTCTAGTCATAATGGACGCACTCACAAAATGGCCACAAATCTGCTTTCAGTGCCTCTGCTGGAATGTTGTCTGACCCTGCTGCTTTACCACTCTTGATTTGTCTGATGGCCATGCTGATCTCTTCAACTGTTGGCGGGCCAACATCTATTTGGAGGTCCGTGGGTGCTGCTTTGATGTTGGGTTACAGTAACTCATTGGCTAAATATGGATGTATGCAATCCGGCTTGGACTATTGATATTATCCAACTGCGTAAAGAAAATTATGGAACGCGTGATTCGAGCCTATGGTTTATTGAATAAATGCTAAATGACTAACCAGTAATTTTTATACTTTCTCACATAACAAACTTGATAATCGAGGTTGAACTCTACCGAAACTCAGTTCAAAACAGTATCGTATTTAAAAATATTTCAAACATGTAGTCCGTCTCCTGCTGAGCAGTCTACTCCCTTCCACTTTTTGATTTGTGAGACACAATAAAAGTTAACGCTTGGAGATGCTTTTTCTTCGCTACTAAATATGTGTTTCTTGTTTCTAATCTGAATACAGGTTTGTTACAATTGTGTGACTTCATAGAGGATTGTGAACATGTTAAACTAACACAGCGTATACTCCATCTGTTAGGACGGGAGGGACCCTACCTCAAACGTCCTCGTCAATTTACGCGTTACATTTACAATAGAGTTATGCTCGAATCAGCTCCTATTAAGTGCACAGCTACGACAGCTCTGGCGAGGTTTGCTGCACACAATGAGGAATTACTTCCGAGTATTCTTGTACTTCTTAAACGGTATACACAATTTTCTGTTGTCAGGTTTTTTTTATAAATTTTTGTTCATATTGAGCTTTGTTAGATTTGGCAATAGTACTTCGTACAAACTCCAAACATTCCTATAATGTGGAATCCAACATAATGTTTGTAAAGCGACGTGCAAAATTTAATTTGGATAAACAATTAACAGGTGAGGATTTCAAAAAACCATGGGACATTTCAATGTAGGGATAGGTCTTAAAAATCTCTAAGTAATCCGACAATTTTTAAAAGCTTAAGTTTGTCGTTTTGTCTACTAAAGGATCTAGAATTTTGGTATTTTAGAGCTTAACATTTTATGGTCTACATCTTTTATTATATATTATTTTATTTGAACACATAAATATTAGTACAGGGGGGGGGGAACCAAATATATATGCGCCACACAAAACAATGATAATTTGAAGAGAAGGAGAATATATATATATATATATATATATATATATATATATAAGTAATGAACGTGGGGAATTATAGAAAAAAAAGAGGGAGAGAACAATGATGGGGGAAACGGAAAGGTACAATCAGAAGAGATCTTTCAGTTAAGGAAGATACAACCACTTTTTATGAAGAAAGTAAAAGAAGGTTACAGCAGGATCGCCACTGGCTTCTACTCTGAGTCATATCTGGTAACGTCTCTAGCCACTGCGTTACACCATCTCTCGGACCCCAGCCAGGAAGTCGTGAAGGACCAACAGAAGCTAGTCCTTTGCAGCTTTCTTTCATACCACGACACCATGTCATATACTGACCATCTCTCCGCTTTTTCCAACCAGTCCCAGAGTCGGCAAATAATGCACGACGAGGAATTCTCTGGGACGACATTCGTAGAACATGTCCAAGCCACCGAAGTCGGTGTTTCAAGATGGTGACACCAATTTCATTATCGTCTCTGTGACCGAACACTCGATGCCGAACCTCTGCATTACTGACATGGTGTTGCCACTGGATGCCAGCAATCCTTCGGAGACAGCGATGATCGAACACAGAGAGTCGTCTAACATCCTCAACTCGGAGAGGCCAGGTTTCACAAGCATAGGGCAAAACTGCTCTCACCGTCGCGTTGTAGATCCGACCTTTTACAGCCAGACTAACATCACGAAGGCGCCAAAGATGGCCCAGATTGGCATAAGCCGCTCTGGCTTTCACTATACGTGCATTGATCTCATCACTCACACCACCACCAGCACTTATGCAGCTACCTAGATACACGAACTTCTCGACTACTTCAATCTGCTCACCATCCAGAGTGAGTACAGGATTAGAATCCTGCCAGTCTTGTAGAAGTACTTTGCACTTCGAAGGTGCGAAGCACATACCATACCTACGGACACAGATTGCCAACTGATTAAGTGCGGATTGCATGCCTTGAGCATTATCGCACAGTAAGACAATATCATCTGCATACTCAAGGTCGAGAAGTCTTTCTCCAGGCAACAGATCCATACCACCATTACTTACATCCGTCAGAGCTGTTTCCAGAATGTCATCGATGGCAAAGTTGAAGAGGAATGATGAGATTGGGCAACCCTGTCTAACCCCACTGCTTGAATGGAACAATGGAGAAGGGTGATTGTATGCCCTCACTCTGCCTGAGGTGTTTAGGTATAATGCTTTTAGGATGTTAATAAACTTCTCAGGCACACCGTTCTTCAATAGGCAATCCCAGAGAACAGTTCTGTCCAACGAATCGAAGGCAGCCCTGATATCAAGAAACACTACGATTGTTGGCCTTTGATAAATATGACGGTGTTCTAAAGTTTGGCGGAGGGTGAAGATATGATCAATACATCCTCGACCGGAAAGTCACCACCATCTTTAAAAAGAGCCGGAGGTAAGTCGTCTAGGCCCGGTGATTTGTAACGTTTCAAGAGTTGGAGTTCCTTGCGGACTTCCGCCTCATTTGGTGGATCAGTCGTCACCGGCCATGGAGGGCAGGACAGTCTGACCGATGTTGCCGGAGCAGCAGGCCAGTTGAACTGCCCTTCAAAGAATTCTGCCCATCGTCCAAGACGTCGATGGATGTTAGTGATTGGCGTTCCGTCATCCTCGCAAATTGTTTCGCTCACACCAAACTTCTTGCTGCCAGTGGCTCGGATGAGTTGGAAGAGCTTCCGGTAATTACCAGATGCAGCTGCTGCTTCCAACTCACTGGCACGCTCCGACCACCAGGCTTCACGGTCCTTACGCAAGCTTTGCCCGATTTCATTACGTAACATCCTTCGTCTGTGGTCAAACTCACGGTCACCCGGAGTAGATCGACGGGCTTCAATGAGTTGTAAGGAACCAGAAGAAACCCGGCGCTTGTAAGCGGGATGTTTCGCGAATGGTGGTAGCTAGCCTAGAAGCTAGCTCGGTTCGGTACTTACTAGCAACAGAAGTTGCAGCCAGCTTGCTAACATCAATCCTTTAGTGGCGGTCACTTCGTTGTCCACTGAAAAGTAAGGTAAGATTGGCGCAGACCAGAGCATGATCAGATTCCAGATAGGTACTCCAAAAGGAGCGGCAGTCTTGTACACAACCGCGCCAGCGATAGCTGATCGCGATGTGATCAATCTGAGTCCAGGCTTGAGATGGAGAAGGAGGACGCCAGGTGGCACATCGGCGATGACTGTGCCGAAAGTTAGTGCTAGCCAGAAACAGGTTGTGGTCTTTGCATCGTTGCAGTAGATGGTCCCCGTTATCTGTCCTGCGACCAACAAGTCCCCATCGGCCACCTAAAAGACTCTCTTCAGTGCCTAGACGCCCGACCTGAGCATTCAAGTCTCCAGCTAGTACTACAATATCTGTCGGACGCACTTACTGGAGAAGAACAGTTAACTGGTGGTAGAACTCATTCTTGATTGCATCCGGGCTGCGACACCAACCCCAGCAAGACCAGACGAAGATGCCACAGGGTCCCCGGATAAACGCACGTAAAACAAGCGTTTCGAAGTGACATATGGAGAGCGAATTTGTAGTACTTCACCAGAGTCTTGAATACGGGTCTGGGATAGACAGCAAACGTCAATATTAAGACTTTCCAAAGCCATAGCCAGTCCTATCTGTTGTCCGACCTGTATAAATGTGCGAACGTTGAAGGCAGCCAGTTTGAATGGTGCACGTTTAGATAGAGCCGAATGTCCACCATTGATGAGCTGCTGTCTAGGTCGAAACGGATACATAAAGTAGGAATAAGAGAGGGTGAATAAATGACGTGGTAAAATACTACTACTACTACTACTACTACTACTACTAATAATAATAATAATAATAATAATAATAATAATAATAATAATAATAGTACGAGTCATTTCAATGCTGATCAGAGAGAAAGGAATATTTTCCATAAGCAAATAGTTAGTCTACATCTTCTGACATTTCGAATTAATTAAAGCTATATGTGAATTGACATGGTTTATCTAAAACAAACAATCATCCGTAGGACTTTAAATAATCAAAAAGTTAGTAGTTAATAACCCATTTGTTCTGTCGAAACAGATTCTGTTGATACCTGCCCACTAAAGATCGACAGTTATTTACGACAAAACGTAATATAAATGTATTACTAAACTGCAGCATCACTGGTTAGATGATTCACACTGATATCGTAAGATGGTCTGAACACTGAATGAATTTCCTTGGTTTTTGAATGAACTCATAAACGTTGGTTTGTTTTACTCATTCAAGTTGTAATTCGTCTGAATAAATTTTTTCGCATTAGTGCAAAAACAGTAATAAGAACGACGTCCATAAAAACGGTATACAATATGACTTCTCAATCTAGACAAATAGGTATGAATTATAATGTACTTTTCTCTTCGTCCTGCGAGGTTAAATAAATAGAGAAATGTAGAACCAACCGCTTCCGTTTCATTTCTAAAATATTCAGCATAGTGATGGCTTACAAGCTTTTTTTAAGGTCCATAAGTATTAAGAAATGGTTAATGGACAATATTAGCCAATCAGTCATACGTAACGCGAAATCTGACAGTGAGACTAATTTAGAAACGACCTTTGAGGGATGATTAAGTGACGCTGAGAATTTCGACCAACTTACAAGAAATAAAGGGTTTTAAATAACTGTCACAAATTAGGGTTAGGGTTTACTGTTGAGCGTGAGGGTTAAAAATAAAAGTCACGGTTTTCATTACGAACCGATATCAGCTATAATTCCAAAATGCTGTTTTGCCATATGAACGGGAAAATTTCGCGCCAAAATTTAGATACATAGAATGTGAGGGCAGACAAAAAACAAGTGCGCCCGTGCAATTGTAAACGATTTTTGGGTCATTTCATCCACCAAAGTTTATAAGATTTCCATGATAGGTCAAGAGATCGACGTATCTAATTACTTCACTTCCTATCATTAGATCAGGCGTTGGCGTAGACCAGTTCTGGGGTAACATTCTACAGTGAGATGGAGAGAAACGCTTGCATTGTTGTTCAAGGTGGTCAGGAGCCTGCATTTTTTCAGTGTTTTCGCCTAACAGAACTATATCATCGAATTCTAAGTCAATAAGTCAGTTTGTTGGTAGATAGATTCCTGACGTCAGACAATTAAGGCGTTATCTCCAAAAGGATGGCTATGTCAAGGTTAGGTAGAGATAAGGGAAGCAGACACCCCAGACGAAAATCACTTAAAGTTATCAATTCTGATGACATTTTGCCATAAGCTTTAACTCAACCCTTAGTGTTCAAGGAGGTAGCCTAGAGACTTGTACGGAGTACACTGCATGTTTATCACAGTCGTTTGTTGTTTATATCGGTTTTATTCACGACAGTATTCTGAACATGAATGCAATAGATAATTACATCGAAAACGTATATTAATAGATAATGCATTCAAACGCTGGTCACGCTTTTTTACATTTCCTTCACGAAGACTATCTGATCTGTCCTTTGCTTTTTTCCAGCTTTTTAAATTCACGATTCTGTCAGTGTTGTGTCATCTAAATCAGATATAATTGGGGAACTTTCAGTCTTGATATTATCAACGACTAATCTCGTTATTATTTTTTGTGTAATAAACAGACGGATCCTTTTAATGGCTTTGTTTTGACTTACCTTCAAAACCATCTTGTTTTTGTTTCATATATGTCTAGAATTATGATTGATGAAGACGATGAGGTTCGTGATCGCGCAGCTTTCTACCACTATATTTTATCACATAACCAAGTAGCATTAAAATCTGCTTACCTTTTAAGTGAAGAAATGCATCTAAGTCCATCTGGTTTAGAGCGCGCTTTGTTGGATTATGTGCACAATTCTCACACAGTCGCTGGTAGTCCTTTCTCTTTGACGACAGTCCCAATAGCTGATATTGTTCAGCCAAATGATCTTAGTTCTGCCATTGAATCGGATGTTGTAAAGATCAAAGGTAAGCAAAACCGTCTTATGCGTAGTAATAATAATCCGAGGGAGTATTCAATGAAAAATTAGTTCGTTGACATCGTTTAAAATTTTTTAACGAGTTAAAGATGATGTCATTTCATATGAACTATTTTTGTTGTGATAGGTTTATATGTATACTTATCGCCTATCACATCTTATATGTTCTGTGATCAACCTAAAAATATATTTCCTTAAAAATATTAAAAACTAATAAATCGTGAGCGGACAAAATATATAACTAGTAGTCCACTATGATTTTGAAATAATAATCCCACCGTAAAACTAATTTGGTTTGTATAAGTGAGTTACTCAAACATTACAGCTAAACTATAAAAGATTAAGGATAGTCAGACGAAAATATGGCGGCACTGTTGAGACACTGATCATTAGTTTGAAGTATATGGAGAGTTGGAACCATTATGGTGATGATTTACACACCTGTGTTCAGTGGTTCAATATCAGATGATACGACTCGAAATTATTTGCCGTGATGGATACGCTCTCACTTATCTGCTGCAAAATACATTGATATGTGTAGTCCTAGGTTACCATCTTGTTTCTAGCTCGATATATTCATTTTTTCACAATTATCAGGACTTTGTTTGTTTCTTCTCAATAAATTCTGATGTTGTTTTCTAGCTAAATCTAATGCGATGGCTGGTGAAGGTCGAAACACATTACTTGCTTCTCAGATGTCAGGGAAACGTATTCAAGACTCCTTTGCAGAGCAACTGGCATCTATACCCGAATTTTCTGGTCTTGGCTCCATATTCAAATCTTCTTCCTCAGTAGAATTAACTGAATCTGACACGGAATATGTGGTAACATGCATAAAACATTTATTCTCTAGGCATTTAGTCTTGCAGGTGAGTCAGATTTCCAAACATTTATTAGCAAACATGAAGCACTTTTTACACATAAACAAAATTGGTTCTGAGTATTGAGTTATTTTTCGTTAATTTAATTGCTGAAGCCTATATAGTTCGACAATACAGATGTCGTTTCGTTTGATCCATAATACAGTGAAGATGTGTCAATTTACCACATTTGCGTTTTGTTTGCCTGACAGCTCTTAGTATCTCATTACATTTCCTTAAGACCACGATTCTAGGCCCTATCTATACAAGGTTTAGACCACTGCTGTTATATAAACAGTCCGGATTCGTCTTTTCTTAGTATTATGGCATCGAACTATGAATTGTCAAGTTAATCAATACCATATAGAAGTGGGTAACTGTCTGTTTATTCTGTGCTCGCTCTAATTTCATTCAATTATTTGTTTCAGTTCGATTGTGTCAATACAATGTCAGACCAAGTCTTGGAGAATGTCTATGTTTCGTGTGAGCCGGACGATCCTCTGTTTAATATTGTCTGCACAGTACCTTGCAAAAGCTTAAAATATAATTCTCCCGCTGTGACGTATGTTCTAGTTGAGTTGCCGGAGGATCTAGAATGTCATTCTGTTACATTTATCAACACATTGAAATTTACTATCAAAGATATTGACTCTGACCCTTCGGATCCTGGTTTGCCAGACGAATATCAAGTAAGTTATTTGTGGGCCAATCAAGGTTAGTGTTACACATCGTGTCATAAACTTTGATTCTGCAAATATAATTGATCTTTCACTGAGCCATTCTGCAAAATAAATCCTGAAAAGACAGCGATTCGGCATGTCAAGACTATACAATTTTATCTTTAATCACAGTTCATAGACACATGTTGTTTTTCTACAGCTATCTTGTATACTGGACTTATACAATAATTAGTTAGAAGACGTTCGATTACTTTTAATGTGAACATTGCTTGGCCAACTCTGCTCATCATTTTCTAAATATCTCACCAGACATTTTCAGGAAATATTTTATCCATATAATACACCTAATTTTGTAGTTGCATGGCTATACTATTATTTAATACCCGAAAATCATTAGAAGTTTGGATGAACGTGATACTTTGTTTAATTGTCAGTATAAACCTTAATAATAAGTCCAAAGGTTTAACTTGTTTCATATTTGATCCATTTTAAACCGCACACGTTTAACAAACGTAGTCATTGCTCTTTAGTGAGTAGTATTTTAGATCTGAAAAATACTAAACCGTTGTATCAAGTGAAGTATTCGGTAATCCACACAAACAAATTGTAGTTGTATGTTAGTAAAGCAAAAAATAAACTTCATTCCGTTGTGAATATCATACAATAATGGATTCATTTTTTTATATTGTTTGTTCTTATTTTCCCATCGATGTTGAGGAGTGCAATCGACCAGTCTCATATTGGTATCCGGATTGTCTTGAGTCACAAGTATTATAGGTGGCTAGCAGTGCAATTCAGGATGCGCGTTTCGTACTATTTGGAACTTGTTGGTTAGATGTAACTGCATCCAGATGTTGATGTTCAGTCTGGGAGTCGAACCTAGCACCTTTTGTGATGGTGTTTGAAGCGAGCAGTACTGGGTCCGAGTCCTGAAGTGAACATCAACTCTGTGATGCAGGTAAATCCAACCGACAAGTCCCCAATAGGTCGAAACGCACATCCTGGATTTCACTGCTAGCCATCATACATCTTTGCTTATAAAATAACAATTAGGTTAAAGCCGCTAAGTATGCTTTCCTTATGGTATCTGATCTTATAGCATATACATATCCCCTATCCACTTTTCTGGTTTCTCATTTTCTAACACTTTTTCCAACTTTTATAACAGTTGGAAGACCTGGTCCTAGGTATTTCAGACCATATTCAACGTGTTTCGAAACAGAACTTTACAGTGGCTTGGCAGGAACTCAGTCCTGAAACTGAAGTAGAGGAAACGTATATGCTGGTGAAGCACAAGACTATTAAAGGTATGCAAAACTTTGCTGCTGATACTTTATCTTACACTTTCAGTCTGTTACTTCGAACTAAATGGTCGATGAATTACGCAGATCAATTTGATTAATACAAACCCAGTGTGTGCATCAAAATGTTAAACATTGTATTAACTTCAATTAACGTTATTTAATTGTCGAAACAAAACTATAAAAGTATCTTAACGAAGTCAAATATATCAATAGATGTGTTCCCAGACAGGGTAAAGTATGTTGAATACGAAAAAACAACTTATCTCTCTTTTTATAATCACAATGAGGACTTTTAATATTTTAAAACTATATGGGGATCCTCGAGTTTTACCGTTTTCTTGTCTATATATCTATAGGGCTCACTTATTTTGCTAGATGAACATGTCTAGTGAATTTACCACATTTTTCTGATTGACGAACTGTTTAAAACCAATATCTTTTCTTACCTTGAAAATGGCGTTAATTATGTGAAAGAAATGGGTGTACTCTGCCTCAGTCTACACAATTAACGGAATTAAGCTAAGTTTATGGTTTTATGTAGTGTGTAATAAGGAGTTAGATTACTTTTGTCGATGCTTTTGACAGGACACGGCTGAATTGTTTATAATTTTATTTTCTTGGAGAGTAGGGCAACATATACTATGTAGCTGCTCATAATCATCAAATGATATATATTGTTAAACAGTGATTTTTACGATACGTAACGAATCCTCTTGTTTTTTTGCTTTAAATCACTGGTTATTTCCTCATACTTTAGAAACGATGCGTCAAATTATTGAACACCTTGGACTTCAACCTTGTGATCAAACTGATCATATGCCTCATGAAGGAAAGTCATCTCATCAGCTCCTTCTGTCTGGAGTATATCGTGGTGGGTATCAAGTTTTGGCCTTATGTAAACTTGCTAAAGTATTGTCTGATGGATCTCCTCATTCAAATGAACCGGGCATAACTTTCCAAATCACAGTACGCTCATCTGATCCCATTGTTAGTCGAATAATAGCTGATGCCATCGGTTGAGTTGTCATACTGACAGGCTTCCTTATTATTATATGACATATCTTACTTATGTATTGTATTATTTCTTTCTTACATTGGACTATTGGTAATCACTTTGTTTACAAATTTAATCAAACTACAAGGTTGTTGTTAACACCACTCGTTGAATAGCTGTGATTTTTTCTTGTTAATAAATCTTTATTTTGAAATTTCTGAATATGCAATACAGGATTTAAAGTTTTACTTATCTTTTGAGTTCAGCAAGGTGTTCGCACTGTTGTTTCACATTGTTTACAAGTAAAGCTAGAGTAGTTGGGTTCACACCGCTCTCAATTAGTTTGATGCACATCAGTAATTCTTCATTATCTAAACCTAAAATGAAAATTACGTGAATTGAAGTTAACCCGGGTACACTATATGTTTAAAGAAAAATTTAGACAAAAAGTAATTTGTTACACTATTTCATTTCAGGAGAAACCCATATCGTTTCCTAGTTCCATACCAACCCACCATTTGTGACAGGACACCTGCAAAGAATTCAAATAAAGATGAGGGTTGTAGGTGATCCTGAAGGTCCCATCCACAATTCCTCATAACTCCGGGTTCGACCGTTAGTATTCGAGTGAAAAGCATATAGTAAACTTACGTAATATTTGTGACATCTTACGATGAGATGAATGTAGGACCTTCCGGTCAACCAGTCACAACTGCATGTCATAATTGTGGAATTAAGAAACATGGCAATACCCACTTTCAGTGACATATCTTTTCCATTGTGCGAATTTGTGAGGCCAAGATCTTAATGTCCACCATGATTATGAAATCGGTAGTGCTATAAGATATTTTGAGCTTAGATTTATTCGTTCACAGAAGTCCAGTCACAAAGTGCAATAGTCAATAAGGCTTATAAATGGGACGGTTTTAGAGCTACTATTTTGTTCGGAGGATCTAAACTCAGTGTTTACCTAACATTTGATAAGTCCTAATAAGCTGTGACGCGCAACTACCACTTCTTGTTTTTTAACCAGTTAGCTTGAAAATTGATATAAAGTCGATCTTTATTCAACCAGGTTTCGCGTTGTTACAGTAGATAATTTAGTCGTTTTTAGTATTAAAGTGGACATCAACTGGAGATTCTGATCAAATTTACCATGTTTACCTGTGTTTAAGAGACTTGAAATTTCAGCTAAAATACCAAAAGTAGCAGCCGCAACTTTATCTGCGTTTGATTCTCCTACTGATGGGTTTGTGTTCGCTACTTGTTCATTGTTTTTCTCCTCTCTAGGAAAACCCATAAGATTTATTGTCTGAAATATATAGGAATTAGATGGAAACGTAAACTATCAGTGAAGGATATGTAACAACGTGATGTTAATTGGATTATCGAAATTCTACGGAAAAACAACTGAAGATTGTTATTAAGGTAATTTTAGAGTTCGATCTATGAAAAGTGAAATGCTTTTTAAAAGTATTTATTTTAAATTATTTACATGAAGGCTCACACTACAACTTCTTCTCCACAATACATCAAAACTCTAAAACGCGGGTTAATTTTCTTTCCATCAGCAGTGTAAAGTAGTAGTCGGATACATACGTCACATATTGGACATGGATCGACAGGCAAGATGGTCCCACATTCTGTAACTATCCAGCGGGATGCAAGACGCCTGCAAACAAAACAATGCATTACACGTACACTGCATCGACCGGTGAGCATTGGGAATAAGGACTCAGTCTGACATGAATCACGATCTACAAGACTGAAGTGTTAAAAAAAGATTTTGTTGAAATAGCTGTCTGAAACTTGTCTATTACTTTAAACTTCCAAATTAAACGATAGCATACAGCATGCAAATAGCCTTTTTTATCCTAGAGATGAGAAATTCGCGAGTTATGTACATTTCAACCTGTTAGAGATGTGTTTTTAGTACAATGTGTTGCGGAGTCTCCTGGCTAATCTAAGTCAGAATGTCGACCACAATGGTTTCACATCATCCCATTTCTAATAAACAACCAGTAACCGAAAACCTTGCTGTGTTTATTTCTGAAACAAATGACAAAATAACGACCAAAAGCATTGAAACTGACGTGTGGGCGAGAATGACAATGATTGGTTGTCTGCTCAGTCAGACATGTAAATAGTCTGATAGGTGTCAGATGAGTTATATATTTCCCTGTCCTTATTATTATTAATACTCTCACTTATTATTGATTGTTCATTGTTGTTACATTTTGTCGGGTTTTTGGTGTGGAAATATATTTACGTTGTAGTCAGGATAGTCATGTGTTCTTGATTTGAGTTGTGTTGACGTCATGAAGAATAGACACCGGGATGGAATCTAGTGTAGATATTCTTCTGAGGTAAATTAACATCCCATACGTGTAACCGTGAAAAACCAACCGTTATAACATCAGATGAAAAAAAAACCTAGCGTTATAACAGAAAGATTCTGACAGGTTGCGATTTTAGAATTAATACTAAAGCCAACAGCAATATGCCGCAGTTTCTTGATTGCAAAATAATGCGAAGAGTAATGAGGATCCACACTGGCGTGCTTGTTCATTTTACAATTTATTGACGATACATCCCTTTCATGTCCTTTTAATATTAATTTATTGATTACTCCAAGCTTTTGAGCTCTGCGGTGACTACTTCTAGTTCGTCAAAATTACACCGAGACCAGTTTATTTTCCAGGTCCTTCAAAAATATAGTGAAAATTCGTTCCTTTCTTCAAGAATGATTCCGCGAGGGCGGCAGCAGGGAAATAACAGCCACCTTTATATATCTAGCAGAACTTGATGTCACTTTATTCACAATCAACCGCTTTTTCACTCAATATTAATTCGCTAAACACAAATCTTCAACTATTCCTAAACATGCTACTAGTGCACCAAACCAACGATGGACTCAAATAGACCATATTGCCATCAGTCATCGTTGGAGAGGGTCAATAGAAGATTGTCGCTCATTCTGGGGTACCTGCTTGGACTCTGATCATGCCCTAGTACGAGCTTGCATCTGCTTGCGCCTCACTGGACGCAAAAGAGCCACACAAAAAAGACTCATTAGAACCGAATTGAGTAATGAGAAAGCCAAAAGTAGGTTCCAGGAACAACTGAGGTCACACTTAGGTAGTTCTGAAAACGAGACTGACCCAGATGTTGCTTGGAAAGTTATACAAGCAGCTGTGGAAACAGCAGTGACATCTACTAGCGATTCAAACCACAGGGTTACAAAGAACCAATGGATTTCGTCAAGGTCTATTGCACTGATAGATTCTCGCAAACTCATCCCATCAGGTTCTGAATACGATGAAGAGCGTAAAGAAATCAGATCTAGATTAAGCAAAAGTCTAAAGAATGATCGTGAGCAGTGGTGGGCAACGAAAGCAAAAGAGATGGAAAAGGCGGCGGCTATAGGGAATACAAGACAACTCTACAGACTAATAAAAGAAACTGGAATTAATAAATCAAGTGTAAGTCAGACCATTTCGGAAAAAGACGACACTCTCATCTGCTCCCAGTCCAGACGCTTAGAACGATGGGCGGAACACTTCAAGGAGCAGTTTAGCTGGCCTTCAGCTACTCTACAACTACCCTCTATTCCCAGACAGTGTGAATGGAACATTGAAGTAGGTCCCCCAACTCTAGCTGAAGTTCAAAAGGCTATAGCTAATCTGAAACGAGGAAGGGCAGCTGGTCCAGATGGATTGGCCCCAGAGGTCTTTAAGGATGGTGGTCTAGTCTTAGCGATTAGGTTGACTAATATTTTAGCTAAAATCTGGGAGTTAGACGTTATTCCATCTAACTGGTCACAATCACTTATCGTCCCAATATTTAAGAAAGGGTCAAAATCATTCTGTGACAACCACAGAGGGATTAGTTTGACTAATATAGTATCTAAAATACTAGCTTCGATAATTTTCGGACGCCTAACTAAAACTCGTGAGCTGCAAACACGTGAAAATCAGGCTGGCTTCAGACCTGGTCGTGGCTGCATCGACCACATATTCACCATTCGTCAGGTTCTAGAACACAGGCATACTTATCGGCGTCCGACAATGGTGGTATTCCTTGACTTAAAAGCAGCGTTTGACTCTGTTGACCGAGAGGTTCTGTGGCAGTGTCTGTCATTGAAAGGCGTACCTCAGAAGTACATAAACCTTGTGAAGGCTCTTTACTCGAACACTACTAGTCGGGTCAGAGCCTATGGCGAACTGTCATCTGCTTTTGCAACCTCAAGTGGCGTCCGTCAAGGCTGTCCACTTTCTCCTTTTTTGTTTAACTTTATCATAGACATCCTGATGGAAATAACGCTCTCATCGACTGAATTCTCGGGTATTGATCTCCTACCAGGAGGTCCACTTATTGACTTGGAATACGCAGATGACATAGTCCTGTTTGGTGAAGACGCTGACGAAATGCAGAGTCTTTTGTTAGCACTGAGCAACAATGCCCGATTGTTTGGGATGCGCTTTTCTCCCTCTAAATGCAAGTTGTTGCTTCAGGACTGGTCTGCATCAACACCTGAACTAAGGATAGGGGGTGAAGTAGTCGAACGCGTTGACAACTTCACTTATCTTGGAAGTCTGATCAGCCCTAATGGGTTGGTGTCTGACGAAATCTCATCACGGATTCGAAAAGCTCGCTTGGCCTTTGCCAACTTACGTCATCTATGGCGAAGGCGAGATATTCGTCTATCAATTAAGGGACGAGTATACTGCGCGGCAGTTCGTTCCGTCCTTCTATACGGCTGCGAAACATGGCCTTTAAGAGTGGAAGATATTCGTAAGTTACTAGTATTTGACCACAGGTGCCCTAGAAATATTGCGGGTATCTGCTGGGATCACCGGGTAAGTAATAGTGAGGTTAGACGCAGGGTATTAGGGAATGATGGTAAATCAGTTGATGAGGTTATGAATCTTCATCGACTGAGATGGTTGGGCCACGTATTGCGTATGCCTGAACACCGATTACCACGACGCGCAATGCTGACTAGTGCAGGGGATAATTGGAAGAAAGTTAGGGGCGGCCAAACCAAAACGTGGCATCAGTGCTTGAAGTCACTAACTTCTGGTCTGAGTCATGTTGGGAGATTCAGACTGCCTGGTTGGGGTCCGCGTGACTATCGTAACCAATGGTTGGAGACTCTTGGTGACATGGCTCAGAATCGATCACAATGGCGTCGGTGTATACACTCTGTGTCTTCCTTAAATTAAGAGATTAAAATCGCTTCATATCTGTCTAGGAACTAATTCTTTCTTCCTTTACTATCTCCTTATACACAATCTTTCTTCTATAGATTACCACCACTGAATTAACTACTCCTATGAATCCGGTGTTCATCTTGTTGTGCTAATGCGGTATGGCAACTTGGACCGATGCATATACGTGCCTGGTCCTACGTTGCAGCTGACTGACTGACTGATGCTACTAGTGCTGACTATTCGAGTTTACAAACTGGCATCTTAAGTTTCCTGAAGCCACGCACTAAACTATTCGGTGATCCTTTTAATGTCCGAAACCTATGTCCAACCGACCAACAGGGTTTACTCGTTAGGGCTCAAGAATCCCATGTCATGAATGTAAGTTGTCCTCGAAATACTGATATGGGATCTCAGAATGGTCATTTACTTAACCAAACAATGGGTTAAGAGTAGACGATTTGGTGACGCAATGGTTTACAAATTGATTAGGTTGAGGTTAGCCACAATTGCAAATAATATGCTAGTATATTAGATCAAATGGAATGCTAGAACTAAGGAGTGAGTTTTTAAACCCACCGGACATCGGAGAAGATAATCATATGTTCACAATTTCCTTGGTGTACGAAGAAATATGGCTTTCCAATACAAATAACAAGATTTTCGAGAGTCACTGATTCCATGGGTAATGATGTAAAAGGCCCATACGTTGTAAGTTCTTTCTTGCTTTTGGCCCACTGTATAACCTCTCTAGAGCATAATGCAAGTAAATAAAATGACTTACTCCCCAAGGCTCTTGCTATTCGCGTTCCGTAGATCATTATAAAAAGTGCCTTCAATGAAAAAGTATGAAGAAGGGTATATTTTATCCGCCGAAACACGTAGTTCAGGATTATCAAGGGCTTCGCTACAGTCTCCCAGCCAAACCTGAAAACTGTTTACACAGGGCGAACACTTACTTTATCTTGTGAACACTTTATAGCTTCCCTTAAAACTGTGAGATTTTGTTTAGACAACAGCATCAACCTCTGAGTAATGACTAGTTGCCGAGACTTACAAAGTTGCTAAAAATGACCAATAATACCTGTGCACAGGGATCAATGTTAGGTAGGCTAAATGGCCGGTAGACAAGGACGGTCACAAATACATCCTGGATGACTTCTGTGGCTTCTGGAGATTCATCAACAGAATTTCGGTAAGACATATCCACAAGTGGTCGTGGATTTCTTTGCATTGCTGTGAGGACTGATGTCCTAGAATTCAAACCTTCAGTTTCTTTCAGTAAATGAGTTAGGGTCTTCAGCTGCTTTTCATCTTTCCTCGATGGTATGATTTTTAAGATTTCTTCTAAGGTCGTGTACTCTCCATCGAAGTATAAATTTTCCAAACTAGACAAAAATATCAAGGTGTAGATAGATTTACCTGCAGTCACTCTCAAGCTGCTTGAATATTGAAGAATCAGTTACGATCTTTTTAAACTCAGAGGTAAGAAGATCATTAGCTTCGTTTTCCTTCAATATTTTATGTTCATTGGGTAAACAAGAAATAAATTGTTTTTTCAGATCTCCTATTCGGAACTTCGGCGAATCAATGCTGACAATTTCCATCAGTTATTCATCTTAGAATAAATTAGAAACGAATTACATAAGTCATGTACACAGCACGGAAATTCATAAACGTTACAATAACGGAAATTAAGTAAGGTCTAAAACTACTTTTAGAATATTTTCCACATTCGGAAAGGCATAAAGTCATGATACAACTAATAGTTGGCTGAGTCTATTGATATCATTGCTTTATATGGCCTTAAAAACTCTGAGGGGAGTTAATTGTGATCCATATAACTAAAATATCAAGATATCTGATGGTACTGGTGTTCATTAGGAAAATGCTGACACTGTCGAGTACATATAAACTGTGAATACATGACTGACAACAATAAATCCTGAAGCACAGCTAGCAGACCAGCAATCCGAAAGACTAACAGCATTTTTTAAAATCGCGCCTTCATGTTCGTTATCCACTATCTATGCGATCACGTAATTTTAAACCATTGTCTTCTCTAAAGGTCTCGATATAATAGAACAGCTTTAAACCCAGAGCTTTGTCTATCGAGACGTACTGTTATTCAAATACTCAACGTAAATTATTAGCTCACAGTGGCACCAAGTAAATTAAGGAAATAAGTAAGTTTTGTACGGTTATTGTCAAATCAGATTGTGGAAATAGGGAGATTTATGGAACTGACACCTCAAAGCTTGCCAATACACATCTCCCAGGGAGTTAAGTCATTCTACCTAAGTTGAGAGAGCTTTTCACTAAAGAATCAAAGGTAAGTATTGAAGACGACCTAGACCATTATAAGTACTCAAACAGGAAGTTATTCTTGGAAACAGTATAAGGTATAAAGCTTATCAACGCTTTTCAACTTGGCACCTTTATAATTGTAGTATATTAAATCAATCAGTTTTCAGTCTGCAGTAATAAGCATATGAAGTCTATCGACCTATATTATTCCTCGCAGTTTGTAACATTGTGGAGGTCCAATCTCGTTTTGAATATATCAACAGAAGGTGCTGATATTACGTGTTTCGGTAGAGAATTCCACTGATTCACTACTCGGTGCGAGAAACAAAACTCTAGAAGTAGACGATTTAATCTCGGTTTTTGAACTTTTTTCGAATGTCCTCTCAAATGATCGGTCCTAGACGGAAGTAAAAGATACGATATGTTGATACCTTCAGAGTACGATAAGAAAATATTAGACCACCCCGTATTCTACTGTATGATAATGGAAATAAATTGAGGTGTATCAGTCTGTCTTCATAAGATAGGCCAGATAGACCATGTACCATCTTAGTACCTCGTCGTTGGACTCTTTCCATCATATCTGCTTCATACTTGAAACAAGGACTCGCTGCTTGAATCCCATATTCTAAATGTGATCGCACGTAAATGTCACCAATGAGCTATGATCATTCTGTAATACTATCCTATCCAACATACTGTGTATGGGTCTCCAAATTTTTATGTCATCAGAAAAGAGTAGAACGGATGATTTTGCTACAGTGGTAATTCATTTACACAAAGTAAAAAGAGAAGAGGACCGAGGATTGTACCTTTTTACAGGTATCCAAGAGGAAAGAGCCCCATTAACCCTTACCCTTCGTCTCCTGTCATGAAGAAAGTTACTTATCTAATTTACGACTGTATAATGGATTCAAAAACGTTCCAGTTTGAATTTTAGACCAGAATAGGAGACCTTATCGAAGGCCTTACTTAGATCTATGAAGATCACATCTACAAAAATAGTCTGATCATTTGCAGCAGACCAATCTTCTCTTGTAATGAGATTTGTCAAACATGATAGGCCTGTCCGAAATCCATGTTGTGTCCTAGAGAAGAGAATATGCCCTTCAATATAGTTTATAGAAGATGCTCGGATGGTTTTTTTCATCAGTTTTACAACTGCACTAGTTAATCTAACGGGTCTATAGTTACTAACTAAATCCCTACTCCCAGCCTTATAAACCGGACTTATTATAGCGTCTTTCCAGTCTCTGGGCAGTCTAGACTGCCTCAAAGAAATATCAAATAGTATCACCAGTGAATCAGCAATTACATCTCATATGGCTCTGATAATCCTAGGATGAATATTATCAGGACCGTTGAACTTATCAGGTTTGAGATGCTGAAGCAGCCTTAAAACAGTATCTTTTTCAATGACTACAAGGTCCATCAGCGAGCCTACACAATCACAATGAATCGTTGGTCGTTCCTCATTATTGATAGAAAACACTTTACTGAAATATTCCGATAAAGCTTCAGCTTTTTTGGTATCAATTTTACCAAGATTAACGGATTTTCTTGTATCAGAAGTGATGGAATTCCATCGCTTCTCTGAGTTCACTTTTTTATATACGAGAATAAACGTTTCGGACTATATCTAGAATCCCTAACCAATTGTTTTTCATATGATCGTCTAGTCTTACTTATTAACGCTTTGCAGGCATTCCTTATCTTACAATAACTGGATCTGTATTGTTCTTAGCCAGTAGAGATGAACATATTCCAGTGCTTTCTCCTTCTTCTAAGAATTTTCCTGACTGGTTTAGTTATCCATGGTGGACTGTTATTCGGTCTTCGCGGTACCAGGTATGGTATGAACTATGATGTAACTAAACTAAACTTACCTTTAAATATAGACCATGCTTTTTCAACTGATGAGCTAGTATCTACAAACCAATCTGTCTAAGCAGCGGTTTCCTGAATGGCTGATATGTTAGCTTTCCATACATTTGGGCGGGGTGTGACCTGATCGTATAACATGTCCCTAGTTCTAAATGTGAATGACAAAACAGCGTGATCACTGTTCACTAGTTGTGGAAGAATATTTAGGTCGGCAATATCCTCAGTCTCATGGGCGATTACCAAGTTCAACAAAGAACTTTGGTTAGCACCAAAACGTGTGTGTATGGATACATGCTGCACTAATGCATACTCGATTATTGTTATCAGGTACCTACTATCAAAGGAGTGTATAGATCCTTCCGTGGTCATCTCAGTCCAACTAATAGCAGACGCATTAAAGTCTCCTATCATCAAGCATCTGGTATTAGCACTCCAAAGATGAATGTGCTCTAAAATGAAGTCATCAGCTAAGCAGATTGGGCTGCGATAGATGACATCGAGCATAAATTTACTACATCCGATATCCAATTTACAGCTAATGACTTCACAAGTACCGCTATAATGGGACTCGCTAGCAGGGGAGAGGATGTTTATATTATTGGCTATTTATAACACGACGCCACCTCCTTTCCTACATTTATGGCTATCACTCCTTAGGTAATGGTATCCGGATAATTCTGGATTAATGCCTAAGACATGGATTAACCAAGTTTTTGTCACTGCTACAATGCGTGGCGTTAATCTGTCTACTAATGCTTCTAGTCCATAGGACGTATTTCATAGACTACAAGCACTGGCATATAAAACTCCAAGGTAGAACGGCCTATTGACACAGGCCGTGGTAGAATTCGCTGCCAAGACCTGACTATCCGAAAATCCACTAACCGGAGTTTTTCCTCACGGGTTTCTAGGTCACCTATCGCTTTCCTCCCTTTTATTCTATCTTCGAGAGTCATATCTGTTATAATTAGGATGTCGGAGTTGTCGTGACAACGAGCGCTATTTAACAGGAGATCCCATTGCTTTTCTGATCCTATGGTTACCTTAAGGAGTCTGCATGGTCGGGGTTCAGCATTGTTGTCGGTCCTCTTGCCTATTCTAACCATTTTTTGACCTGAAATCCTTTAGAGTTATATGTTAAGATACTACGAATATATTCTCCCAGCTTCTCTAAATCATTCGCGTGTCTAATTTTGGGATCAGGGTCTTTTGATTCCGATCATGTTCGATGATAGTAGATTCTTCTCAGTCACGTCAGGGTGGGCTTTCCTCTTACTATCAGATTTCGGAAGTGCATTTTGTGACTTACAATGGGAGTCCACCAATGACTTGATAACCACATGCATACTGACTACAGCTTTTTTCTTTTCTTTTCGTTTTCTCCGTACTGTAGTCCATTTTTCATCTCTCAGGACACCGGGACTATTTGAAACAGTGACGGTCTTATTCAGGTCATCAGTTTCCACTACAGGTGCATGGGTACCCATGCGAATGTCAAGTGGTACTTCTTCCCTAGTTAATATTAGCGGAGGTTTCACTTTTCCGTCGAACAAAGTCGGGTGTTTGAGGCGTCTCGTAACAGTAGGTACTACACTGACACATTCGTCACTGTCAGTGTACTTCTTATCAACGCATGCGCCATCGTATTTATTACAGGCCAAAGCCAATAGACTCCTGTGGTAGTAACGTCTTATTTGCGCAGCAAAACATGCAAAGCCAATGTGAGTTAGGCTTTGAACATCTTTTGCATGCAGTAGGAATTAAACGGATGCACATCTTACGGAACCACATTTTGCATTCGTCACATTGCATTCCTTCCTCCACAGAGAACAAACAGTGTGGTTGTCCACATTTGTGGGTACTACCAACCACTTTAGTCAGGATAAGGTGTTAAACACAATATGATCACAGTACGTGGCACAGCGTACCCATTCGCGGTCTGATGATGATGTGTCAATGAGCGTCTTCGGTTGTGTTCATCAAAACTAACGAGTTCGGCGTCAATGTGTTCCTAGTTTCACCGAAACTGATGTCCAAAAATGTCTCCAGTCACTAAATTCATCCCGATGTTTGGGACCTGATGGTATCCCAAACCTCCTTTTCAATAAGTGTGCTGACGTCCTATGCTATCCATTCACCACTATCTTTAATAGATCCTTCTCTTCTAATCTCATACCGAAAATGTGGAGAAAGATGGAAATAATCCCTATACCCAAGAAATCATCTAGTGATAAGAATGTGAAATTCAGACCCATTGCAATAACTTCACCCTTCCTCAAAGCAATGGAAAAATTATTGACACTTTCACTTCAGCCTGCGATGAAAGAGCACATTGACCAGTATCAGTTTGCTTACAGATGCAAAAGAAGCACCCTCGATGCTGTTGCTGTTCTGCATCATAATATAGTGTTCAACCTAGAAAAGGGTAAGAAGTATGTTCGATGCGCTTTCCTGGACTATACTTCTGCTTTTGATTCTATATCAAGGCAACGTTTACTTAACAAGTTAATGAGCGTCAACACTGACAGCTGGATAACCAACTGGCTATGTTCCTACCTCTCTGGAAGGGAACAGTACACGGTGTTTAGAGGAAAGTGTTCAGAGTCTCTAGTGTCTTATAAAAGTGTACCACAAGGAGCTGTTCTTTCACCTCTTCTTTTCTCTTTTTTTCTGCATGATCTGCCATCTTCCACAGTAAACACTTCCGTGAAATATGCAGACGATCTCACTGTTTGTATGCCTATCTCTTCCTCTTTACATCCTATAGAAATGAACGAGTTTTTATCTCG